CCAGACATGATGATCAGAGACCACAAAACATAATACGCTTTTTACTGACATGGCGGAACCTGCTGACTGTAATGTATCTTTGAAGATCTTCCGAAAACTATCATTGTACAAGGTCCTCGAAATCGAAATCATCAAGAATTCTAATTGTAGTTGGAGCCCTCGGTTTGATTGGAAAAAGTTCTGATAGACTCATTGAAGGGATTCCTGGTAGCCCAAGGCTTAAAGAAATACAAAAAATTGTACTCAAAAGAACAGCTCACACCTTAAGAAGGGCTTTATCTATGTAAAATGTGTGATCTTTGTTTTAAAAGAATGCTCAGTGGAAAATGTCATGTTGTCATTTCTGAGCTTAGGTCTCTGGTTGGGACCCGGAAAGAAATGAGTATACAACAGAAATGAAAGGAAATAATAATAATAATAATAATAATAATAATAATAATAATAATAATAATAATAGTTACTATTCAAGCAGACATGTCTACTTTTGGAAGTATATTACAAATTGTGAGAGGAATAACAAGACGTAAAGGAATCTTATAATTATAATTCTGTTGTGCTGCATAAGTCGTAATTTATTTATTTTAATCGTAAAAACACTGAATTTCTAATTATTTCATAGTTGCATTTCTTTTAATAACAGTAATTATCAGCTGGCGAGATGAAACTTGATGGGGGATGAAAAAAAAAAAAAATGGAAAACATATAATTACCTTCGGATTATCCGATGATATCTGATGAGTATCCACATAAAAAAAAAGAAAAAGAAAAAAATCCCCAGTAAACAATTTAAATGGAGCTCAAACCATTGCAATTGGCTATTGGTCAACTTCCAATCAAATGCGTGATAGCAGGTTATAGTTTGCCTAATATAAATCAATATCTGCAGGCTGTTAATTCATCAGGGGGCGCATCAGAGACTGATCAGCTCTGATGGGGTCAACCTGGTGAGGGTAGTATGTTGTTTGACAAACCCTAAACTACTCAATTTCATAACATCACTGACGACGCCCTCTAGCGCTAAAGAACGTATATTCAATGTAATCGAGGAACAATTATGAATACAAAGTTCAATGTCATTAATCCCTTGAATAAAATATTATTACTATTGATAGCTATCGATGAGGGCTTAAGGATTACATATAGGGGTCAAGAGACTAAAATGTTTAAAGACTTCTTGTTGAAAGTAAATCAAGCACGCCTTTTCTTTCATTTGCTTTATGAAATACAGATTTTTTTTTCTGCCGTGTGGTTGCTACTTAACGAGTTTCACGTTTCAAAAAAGAACATTCCAGTCGTATTTTATTTAATTATTTGCTTCTTCCTGCTTTGCCCACACCCAGGTTTTTATGAATAAGTATTACCAGCTGACTGAAGAAGAGATTTAAACGACATATGGTACTTGTATATGCACATTTCGGTCGTGATATGGTCTAGCGAAAATACACCAGGAAGAACTTTGAATTATCCAGAAAATTGGAACGTAAAATTATCGTAATAAAGGAAGAAAATATTTACAAAATGGATGCAAATAACTAAGAACTGAAAAACAAAATAACAAATATACTATCATGGAAACAAATTATAGGAAATTTCAATTCATAATTCTTTTACGGAATCTTCAAGTACACGGCCACTCGTTTGCGCAGGTTCGCTTTATTGCCGATAAGAAAACTCTAATTGGTGGAATTTCTTTTCACTTACGACCTATAGACTAACTACTACATCCCATTTTATTAAGTTATTGCAAGTAAACTTCTTTACGGCAGCGAATGTTGGACAATTTCCTCAAAGACGAAAAAGAGACTCGAGGCAACGGAGATGTGGTTCTAAAGAACGATGCTAAAGTTATCATGGGCCGAGCGTGTAAGAGAGAATACAAACAAGGAGGAGGCTTATATCTAACATCAGGAGGAGGTAGTTGAAGTTCCTGGGACACATAATGAGGAAGGGGGACCTGGAGAATCCTAGAAATAGAAGAAAAGAGAGACAAGGGAAAACAACGCATGCCATATCTCGCTGGAAGTGGATGAGAGAACGTAGTATGGTGGAATGGAAAGTAACTTGTTGAGAGCTGCAAGGGATAAAGGAAGGGGGAGAGCCATGATCGCCTACGTCCTGAAAGGACATGACACATAGAAAGAAAGAAAAGTAAAGCCTAATCTAAAGAATTGGAGCGATAACCTGCGAATCCTTGAAGATTAATGGGCCAAGATGAGGTGAGACAATGGCATGGGAGAGGACTCTGGGAAAACAAGATAGTGGAGGCTACGTCTTACGAGAAAACGCAGGGAAGTATTATCACCGTTGAAGATATTTTGTCGCGTACCACTAACGTCAATATCATTGAAAAGCACGTACACCCTTTCATGGCAAACGTTTTCTACGATTGACATTGACATCTTTCAGCATCACTGCACCCTACCATACTGCAATAATCGTTATGGAATTATTTCAAGAACATGAATATTTTTTAGTGTTATTTTCCTGCCATCAAACTCATCAGATCCCAATCCAATTGAGGACTTACGAAATTTGTTAGACCATCAAGTTTTTACTTTCGCCAGCATCTAAAGTACCAGTTCTAAAAAAACGCAGCCGAAGTTTTGTAGAGTCTATGCCAGAGCGTTTCTTTAGGCAAATAGAAGACCAATGCTTTCTTAGATAGGTATTCATGCTTTCATTCATCGGAATATATAGGAAGGGTACGAAAATATTCTCGATTCACTCAAGAAACACTTTATTATTTAACTAGAGTCGAGGAAGTGAGTCCCTAAATTCCTAGAAGGCTTCAAAAAGGCATACAGTTGATTGATGTATTCATTTTTTACAGTTTATTAACCCTTTGAAGCTTATTTAAAGCCAAAAGATATTTCTAGTATGTAAGAATTTTTGGGGAGATAATAATGATTTAGTAATACAAGACTTACCAATCAACACTTAGCTGGGTAGAGAAGAGGTGGATTCATACCTTTCTCAAGGCTATTTGCGCGCAAATAACGAACCCGATTAAGATTTTAGAGCCATTATACATTACACCACCTGAACATTCACGCTTAAAGCACCTTGAATAACCAAACGGTAACCTGTTAAGGTACAGTTTAACTTCGCTGATCATTCTGGAACCGGTGTTTCTACGGGATACGGCCGTAAGCAAAAAAAAAAAAAATATATAAATAAAAATAGAATAAAATAAAAAATAAAAAAGACGGTCAATTGAAGAAGGCTGGAAGATACAACAGTCGAAAATTTAGTATAATAACCAGGATGAATATACTGGTCAAATCTTTTATGCGTATCTTCAAGATGTGGTCGTCCATGGCCTTACATAACTTGTTATCCTTTGAAGCACTAAGCAAGATCTGCCCCCCGCTTCTCATTTCCCTCAATATATCCTGTGTATGTCAAATTTTCGATGGCGTCTTTCCTCATTATCCAATCCAGAAATTTCCACTTTCTTTACCTGATTCAAATGAACATTTTTTTCCCTATTTTCTCCCAAACTTGCTTGTTGCTCACATATTCCTTCCATGTTATTCCCAACATCCTTCTACAGAAATACATCGCTGTTAACACAAGTTTCCACATCATCTGTGAAGCTACGTAGGCCGCCGTCGTCAGGGTTGACCATGGATAGCATCCTACTTGTCTGCTTAGCTGGGGCATCGGCGACTGTGACTGTAGAAGCCGATGCGAGAGTGACAATATCACAATCCCTGTGAAGAAATTATCTAGAATTCCCTGCCGTATAGGAGGATCGATATTACAACACACTTTTCTTTCTTCAGAATATATAATAATAAAAATGTTGTCAAAAACATCGGAAAATATATGTGTAAGTAAATGCTTGTGTATACCTAAAATTAATCGTATATATTTGTACTTTGTAATATCTGTTTTGATGTGGTGTTCAGCAATCCACAAACAATTGACTTTATCAGTTAATCTTTATTATTAAGTACATTACATTGAATAAAACATTATCCCCGCCTTTTTGAAAATAAACAACTTACATATTTTTTTTATTATGCCATATATAAAAATATTTAATTACCATTGATAAACACATTTAAGTTTGATAAATTATAATAATTTTCAATACTTCTAACGAATAAGTGTTTTTAAGCCGCTAATCTGCGATTGTATCGACATACAATAAATATTCCCTACAAATTAATGTTCAAAATTTAAAGTCGATAACCACACTCTCGCATTCATTTTGTTCATATAAATATACAGATTTGTATTTTGTCCAAATATCTTTGTATTCAGTTGAGTCATAAGTAATTTCCGTGTTTTTGGAAACAATTGAAAGGATGAATCTATGATTCTTTGCTTACAACAATGTTCAAAGCAAAAGGTTAAATCTCCATCTAAAATATCTCAGATATGATTCCCATGTTTATTCTATTCCAAGCATACTCAGTACATGTTGGAAGAGGGCGTTTGAAGTTTTTCCTGCAGTAGATTGACAATTCTTTCTTTCCAACCAAGGCCATAGAACCCAATCTCTCCTGCTATTCAAACCAAAGCTGGAGGGAGAAGAGTTGGTTCAGAAAAAAAACTTGCTCTAATGAAGACTAGATTTCAACATTTGTCAAAAGCGTTTCACATCAATCTGAGTCTCTATATATAGCCGATATATTTAGCATCCGAACAGCCAAGCATAAAGCATTTGGTGTCCTCAAGTGGTCACCCGTCTAGGTAAGGAACGTGTTCGATGTTGGTTAACTTCGGTGGTCGGACGAGAACCGGTGTTTCAGGCGGAAGACAGAAGTGAAACAGAAAGACAAACGAAAACCAGTGTTTTAACCTTAAATCCGGGCGAGAGCCGTAAAGTCGAACGGGAACCGGTTTTTCATCCGTAAACCGGACGAGAACCTTAAATCGGACGAGATACGGTGTTTCAACCCTAAACTGGACGAGAATCTTAAATTGGACGGGAACCGGTATTTCAGGCGTAAACCTGAAGAGAACCTGAATGTCGGACGAGAACCAGTGTTTCAGCCTTGAAGCCGGACGAGAAACATGAAACTTTTCTCGTTCTCTTCCGGCTTCCGGCTTCCGCTTGAAACACCGGTTCTCGTCCAAATTAAGCTTCTCGATTTAAGGTTCTCGTCCAGTTTAGGGTTGAAACACCGTATCTCGTCCGATTTAAGGTTCTCGTCCAGTTTAGGGTTGAAACACCGATTCTCGTCCAATTTAAGCTTCTCGTCCAGTTTAGCGTTGAAACGCCGTATCTCGTCCGATTTAAGGTTCTCGTCCAGTTTAGGGTTGAAACACCGATTCTCGTCCAATTTAAGGTTCTCGTCCGGTTTAGGGTTGAAACACCGTATCTCGTCCGATTTAAGGTTCTCGTCCAGTTTAGGGTTGAAACACCGATTCTCGTCCAATTTAAGGTTCTCGTCCGGTTTAGGGTTGAAACACCGTATCTCGTCCGATTTAAGGTTCTCGTCCAGTTTAGGGTTGAAACACCGATTCTCGTCCAATTTAAGGTTCTCGTCCAGTTTAGGGTTGAAACACCGTATCTCGTCCGATTTAAGGTTCTCGTCCAGTTTAGGGTTGAAACACCGATTCTCGTCCAATTTAAGGTTCTCGTCCAGTTTAGGGCTGAAACACCGTATCTCGTCCGATTTAAGGTTCTCGTCCAGTTTAGGGCTGAAACACCGATTCTCGTCCAATTTAAGGTTCTCGTCCGGTTTAGGGTTGAAACACCGAATCTCGTCCAATTTAAGGTTCTCGTCCAGTTTAGGGTTGAAACACCGATTCTCGTCCAATTTAAGGTTCTCGTCCAGTTTAGGGTTGAAACACCGTATCTCGTCCGATTTAAGGTTCTCGTCCAGTTTAGGGCTGAAACACCGATTCTCGTCCAATTTAAGGTTCTCGTCCAATTTAAGGTTCTCGTCCAGTTTAGGGTTGAAACACCGTATCTCGTCCGATTTAAGTCGGACGTGAACTGGTGTTTCAATCTTAAGCCAGACGAGAACCGTAACATCGGACGTGCACCGGTATTTCAGCCGTAAGTCGGACAAGAACCGGTGTTTCATAACTTAAGCCAGCAAACATAATAGAAAATGGTGCACACCCAATATGTACATGAGATTAACAACATATCATGATACTGAACACTTAGAATCTGGCAGTTCGAGCTTGACATTTGAGGAATGAAAAGATTGGCATGATGACAAGATTTGACTTTATATTCAATGGGTGACATCTCAGTATTACAGTGCACCACACATTAGAAAAATAGCATGCACATCTCACGGGATTGGTTATAGAAAGACAGGATATTTTGCATTCATATTCGGAAACTGGAAACATTTTCTGTATTTTGCCTCAACGGTAGGAGACATGACAAAGTATGAATTCACTAGGAAGGAGAAATTGAAACGAATTACGCCCCCACTCCATGGGGAATGAGAATACAAACAAAGGCAGACGGTCCAACGGTCTAACGTCGTGATAGTTTATAAGACAAATAAAATAAGAGTTATTAATTAGTTTATAATATACTAAAAGTACAAAAATATTAAGAAATGGGAAATATTTATTATAAAAAGGAAAATATTGGAGAAAATAGTACTGAACTTCTGTGTGATATAAGTTCTCTTACATTGCAGTGAATACTGGACAATGTCCTCACAGATGAAAATAAGACTTGAAGCAACATAGATATGCTTCTACAGACAGATGCTGCGAATAAAATAGGCTGAGCATGTGAACAATGAGAAAGTTTTAAGGAAAATGAAAACAAGAAAGACACATAATTGGAATTAAAAAAAAGTTGAAATTTCTTAGACACATAATGATGTAAGAGGATTTGGAAAATTTGATACTCAGATAACATTTCATGCAAGATGGGTGGAAGGAAAGAGCGAAGAGCCTATTTAACAAGCGTGTGCAAATGGTTACTAGATTAGAGAGTGGGTAGGATATTTAAAAAAAAGAAAACATAGCTAAGAGTTACCAAGGAAAGAGAGTTGTGAGTGTCGTTATCGTCCATGCCCTGAAGCGATACGAAGCATCAAAGCAATGCATTTTTATAATATTAACGATGAGAGTTAAAGTCTATAATGGGAATATCATCTTTTACTACTTAAGATAGTGGCAATTTTATTGGATATATTCAGAAAATGTCTGGGAGTGTATAGAGTAAATATAGAGACGTTGTCTTATATATATATATATATATATATATATATATATATATATATATATATATATATATATATATATTGGTCTCTCCCGTCGGTTTTGGTGTATGAGGATCTGATAGCTAAATTGTTTCAGTTACGAAATTTTGTGCGATAATCCTGAGTGTCACTTAAGACCCGCTAGTGATTTACAAAGGAGGCCACATATGGAGCAAGAATGAGGATTGTGGTTTGAGATCACTGTTAGATTGGCTGACCTTTTAGATCTTGCTCTCGATTCAGACAAGCAGATTGAAAACTGCTGAGTCCACTAAAACACGTTGATCTCCATTCTACCCGCTCCAAGGCTAAGCGCTCAAAGGTGTTATGTGGTATATTGACAGCTGACAAGTTGCTCTTCAGCTTGTCTTTGTATCGTAACCATGGGCGTCCTACATTCCTGTAGCCCTGATCTAATTGGCTGTACCTTAGGGTCTTGGGTATCTTGTCAACAGACATTCTCAAGACATGACCAGTCCATCGTAACTGAGACTGTCTGAGAAAAGTCTCGATCAATCACACACACACACACACACACACACACACACACACACACACACACACACACACACACACATATATATATATATATATATATATATAAATTGTTTATATTTAGGCAGCAATTTTTCATTAATGCATGTTTCATTAAATAATATAGACAAGTTTTGTCTATTTATTTTAAGTTCCTTTCATATTGTCTGATAAGCTTAATAACATTATCATTGAAAGACGAAAGGAAATCACCATATTGATACGTGTTTAAATCCAATCAAAGCTTTCGGCTTACATAAGCAATTATCAAAGATGACAATTACTTTTCAATATATCAACCAATACACGAACGAAACAATAATGATAGTCTGTTTCTTTTGCATGAAATATTTCAAAGCAAATTTGAGGCCAGAGATTGAACTCACAACATTTTCGGGTAAGTCATTTTTTCGCCAATGAACCAAAACTTTTATCCACTGGGAACTTATGAACCTAATGTCTCAGTATTTTTTTTTTAGCAGAGTTCATATTACAAGTGAAAAAAAATTCCGCCTCATTTGTTAATGCTGTTTGTCTCTAGCTCACTGTATTACTGGTTCCCATATTGCATCCATTTCCCATACTTGGCTGGCTTAAGAAATATTTGTGGCCTAGCATATGCATTGATTCTTTACGTTTTCTTATTTTCCAGTGATGTTCTCTGTCTATTAATTAAACTTCATCCCAAAGAATGCGGTAATTTCGCTTTTATTTCTATTATTTTATTCTATTTCCCCTCGTGTTCCGGCCTTAGGGTGTCCATGCAGATTTATCTTATAGGGTCATAATGTTTTTCCTTTAAATTTCTTGACACAGCTTTACGAGATGGTGTATACACAGTTCTTAGTAACGTTCCCCTTTATGAGTCGTCTTATTCGGAAGAGATATCTGCATCGTGTTGATCCACTCCTGAAGATTGTACTGATCTCGTAAGGACCACAGACCTTTGCCGATAAGCTCTTCATATAGGGTAGGTACACTTTTGTTATCATCTTGTGCCCTTCTATCCCAGTTTGTGGAGTGGAACTTGCTGGAATATTCTCAGGGTAGTTGTTATATTATTGAGTATTGCTTGTACTGACCAAATCTTGCTCACATCCCGGCACATATGACTATTTCTCGATGTTGTTGGCAGCGGTCGATCGATTTCTTTACACTATATATGTAGTGGGAGTCGAATATAACCAATTTGGCTGGTGAATGTTGGCTTGCGGTATACGGATGTCTTGGACCCATGCTCTGTTCGATATATTAGTGCACCCAAGAATGCCAGTCTGTTGTTTTCTTTCTCCGTTGTGAAATCTGTCGATGGTTTTATTGAATCCAGTCTGGTGGTGCCAATGTATGATGGTCTCATCTGCGTATCTCAATCATAGGGTTACCTTTAGTGATGTTAATTTTGATGCTATTTCTTCGACGTATCCCCTGTTTATATGTCATTGCTGGTCATAATTGCGAGCAAATCGTCAAGATTTCATTCTGTTGATATATGTCTAACTGCATTCCGAAATATTTGTGTACAGAAATCAGCATCTCTATCAGGTTATCTATTGGTATATTGGTACGTTCTGCTAGAGATGTGTCTGGGCTCACTTTATCCTTGACTACTGATAGTGTCTTCTCTGTGGGTACCTTGGGAAACAATCCTTACCACGTCCAAGCTTGCCATTCGGTTGGATTGAATAGGAGAACATTTTAATGATTTCCACGAAGTTTCCGACATTTTTCTATTAACGAATCAATTGTATTTAAATGAAGCGACTCAGAGGGTGACATGCTGAGCCTTGGCAGCTAACAATTGGTCTGAGAGGAATACCGTCTTTGTGAATTTGGGGGAGACCGTATATGTGAGGTATCTTGCTGTAACTTTGTGATAGATGCCTCTATCTTAGGTGAGAGGTGGCCCTTGATTAGGATCTGTGACAGTTTCTGCTTTTGTTGTTGTGTCTTTCATTACTTTTCTATAGTTATCATTTTAATCTTTTAGTTTCCCTGTATATTTTGTCTTGTTTATCACTACAGTCGTATTGCCTTTGTCAGCTGGTAGTCTGTTGATGTTTTCATTCTTCTGTAGGGTTTTCATTGCCAGTCTATCCCTTTTTTTCTGATGTTTGATTTGGGAGGTTTTCCTTGTTCTAGCATCTGTCTCACTTACCATCTTAGCTCATCTGACTGAGCCATTGGAATGTTCAAGGATATTTCATCGATTGCGCCTATGATGTCTGTGTGGTATCCGTTTGATGATTATTACGAAGTTGAGACCTTTGTTCAGTATTGACTCCTGAAGGGTACTCAGCTAGTGTTAATTGTTGTCGATTACTGCTTTCATTTGGCTGGTCTTGACGAATTCGTGCATGTAGGATTTATTTAGTTCATGTTGGATTCTGTTTCTGCCATCTTTATCAGTGATTCTGTCGAAGAAGCTCTTGAGAGATATCGAATTTGCAACTGATGTTTTATCCAACGGTTGTGCAGGATTCTTTCTCGGAGAAGGGTGTGAAAAAAAAAAACATATGAGATTAGTTAAAAAATAGTTAATGAGACATTAAGGTCATAGGTCCCCAAAATTTACTCACGAAGACATATTCACTCACATTGGAATAAAGCATTGGTTGATTGCTCTAAATAGTTATGCGTTCAGTCATTGGCTTCAGCGGAGAGAACAAAAAGTTACCAAGGCCAGTTAACTAAATCTTAGATTTCCAAAGTGACGTTACGTGGAATTAGATCAATCTACCCTCGTTGACTAAATAAAGTGTTCGGTTCGAATATTCTAAAAATATATCACCTGCAGCAGGCTGGGGATTACAACAGCCGAAACGATGTAAATGTAACACTAAAAATGAGGAAAATAGTCCGAACAATGTAAATAGTCAGATGATGCTTTTTGTATGTAAGTGTATAATGCTAGTTTTTTCATGTAGGTTTAAGTTCATAAAGTATATTCGTAAATGTGTGGGTGTGTTTGTGTAGTAGCCATTACTGTTGGTGGTTTTTGCATTTTAATTTGGGAACGTTTCTTTTACATAAAGACGTTAGATTCAATAAAAGTGGTGATGTAATGTTTTTTGACGTGTGTTTATAGATGGTAATATTGTTATTAGTAGGCTCTCGAAGTACTTTCTTCGTAAAGAATTATGTTCTTTTTTAATTAGGGTGGTATTAATAAAATGAAATTCTGTCGGATTCCAATCCATATCTGATCTATATATGATCAAAATGAATACACACACACAAACACACACACACACACACACACACACACACACATATATATATATATATATATATATATATATATATATATATATATATAT